TGTATGTTTCAATTTTACCATTCGATAATACATCCTCTGCATATGGCATTGTGTCTTTACCACCAAAGTCAATTCTCCTTCCCTTACCTTATATTGGACCCCCTTTACCTTTTACTACCTCTCCCAACCCCTTTTCCCTGGGTAACACTCATACTGTTGTCTGTGTCTATTTTTTGTTTGTTTCTTTGTCTTGTTTGTTCATTTATTGTTTTCAACTCAGCCCCATTATAATCTATGAGACCACAGTCACCTATGTGGTCTGTTGTTGACCAAAACATCTGGTGTGGCCCATGACTGTATTCTGGTCAGGATTTTCCTGTGGGGGTCCAGCTGGTTTTGACTTGCTCTGTGAGATGTGGAGATGCTCTCGTATGTTAGAAATAGAACCAAAGGACATGTCCCCAGCTTTTCGAAAATGTTTGTTATCAAGTCTGAGGTAACTGGGTGATTATTTCTGAGTCATATTTTGACTTTCCATGAAGTTTGCCTTCTGTGCCAGCCTGAGCGTATCTCTGGCATAGTTGCTATCACATTATTGTATCATGTTCTTAGTCTCGTTTTGTGTTGTGTCTTTCTCTTGGTTCTATACTCAGTACCCTCGATCAAGGCTGAATTGAATGTATAAGATGCGACAGAAAAAGGCAAATGAAATCGCAGCTGCTTGGAAATGAGAAATCACCACTCTGTCAGTGGCAGAGCACCATGACCTTTGCTTTAAATTTTTTTCCAGTGAAGAGAGAATTGCACCTATTGCAGAGCAGGTTTCCCAATACTTGTGTTCTGTCATCTGATTTCTTGAAACGGAACAAATCATTAAAACTTTTTATGTTTTAACATGGGATATAACTGAGATGTCGCAGCGAAGTTACATAGCTTACATATTAAGGTAGATTAGAAGGTTAGTTTTAATAGCACAAGAATGAACCTTGAATTTTCTTTGTTAAAGAGAAAACTTTTCCAAAGAAGAAATTTCACTTCTTGATTCTTTTCTTATGTAGGACTAGAGTGCATTTTACAGTATATATCTATTACCTGTTATCTACTATGGCATATATTATTATATAAGTATTTTATACATAGATACCTAATAATCTAATAAATACATTTCTGTATAGTTTTGCCTCAGATGCAGGGAAAAATTTAAGTATGCTTTGGATTTATTTTGGTTTTGCTCTATATAACTTTAGGTACATTACAAGTTAACGCAATTCCTACAGTTTGGATTACTTACCATTCATGTCAAGATTTTGTTCACCTTTTCTTTAGGAAGGTCTGTAATTCTGATTAGGAAATTATTCTCTATTACGATGGTTAATGTGACTGTAATCTCTGGTGAAAATTTGTAATATTATGTCTCTTATTGCTTAGAAATATAAAAAACAATTTTATGGATTGCAGTGGTTGGACTCTACTTCTCAGTCTGGGATATCAAGTGTTACATTTATTATTCCAGTCTAAAAGGAGCAATTCCCAATACTTGAGGGATGTTCTTTAAATACTGGTACTCCTTTGGTTCTCTTTTATGATCCATTTCTTTTCCTTCCTTCTTACATGAATAACATTGACTGAGTTTTTATTGTGTAGCAGGACAGGGCTATGCTGTACAGCTGAGCAGGTTGTGTACTGTACAATTCCAGACTTAGTGCCATCGGCCCTGTGCTAGCTAATGTACAACCTCTCATTTAACCTCACAATAACCTGTGAGATGAATATCATCGTTCCTATTTTATAGGTGAGAAAACGGAATTTGGGGTATGTTAAAACTTGTTTAAACTTATATGATGATGAATAGAGTTTGTATGGGTTCAGAGTCTCTGATTCTCTCAACAGCATGCCACCTTTTGATTTCAGCTCTTGGTCATCTCATCCATGGCTACCACCGAAATGATGGTCATTTCGAAAAGATTCTCTACCCCCAATCTCTCTCTGCTGCCGGCCTACTAGACAAATCTCCCACTATGTCCCTCAGGCACCTCAGATTCTGCACAATTACAATGGAATCGTCATCATTTTATTCCCAGTGTCAATTAGTGGCACCAGCAGCCTGGGCTCTCCTCTCTCTCTTACCTCCCATATCCAGTCAGATCTATCAGGTCCGATGAATTCTGTTTCTGAAATCTCTCTCCACCTGTTCCCTTCTTTTTCATGCCCTCATTCTTTTATTCTGAATGTACCCATTCTGTCTGAATTACAAAAAGCATCGCCTAAAGTCTCACATCTCTAGACCTTTGCATTGGCTGTTCCCTCTGACTGCTTCACCTTTCTCCACCTTCCCCAATCAGCTACTTGAGGACTCAGCTTTCAGTTACTTTCTCAGGGATACCTTCCTTTATTCATCAATCCCTTTCCGTAAGTTAAATTATTTTTCTCTGTATTCCCTGGGCACGTCATGTCTAAGTCTATCATATCACTCATCAGAATACCCTGAGAATTGGTTTGCTTGTCTGACTCCTTTCCAGGACTAAGAGTTCTCTGAGGACAGGACTAGATCCAACTTATCTTTGTTTCCCAAGCTTCTAAGCAGCTTTTCTGGGAGGAGATAAAAAAAATGCTTGAGGGGATGAATGATGCACACAGCAGGCTCCTTAGGTGGATAGGAAAGCATTGTTCACACAATACTGTAGTGTTCTACCTGCTTATGTAGTCCAACTAAAAGTTGAATGCAATTTTTATTAACTTGCATGTTTGATAATAATGCTGATGTTCTTTTAATTATACAGTATATTTTTTCTTCCCCCCTGCTATTTACAACAACAGGCAGCCTGATGGTTGCTTAACCTATGTTTTCATTCATATTGGCAGCAGCTTCTTCCCTTACCCTGTTGATAAGAGATTATAACTCAATTGCATGGTAATTTCAAAAGTGGACTCTGAGTTGAACTTTGGTTTAAGGTGCCAAACTTTTGGCATCAACACTAATGAATAAACCTACCTCTTAGAAGGTGCTTTATTTACTGTTCTTGATCCCTTCAACGATGTTCACTACACCAAGAAAGTACCCCGAGGTTGGTGATCTCAGAACCCGCTACTGCTAAATTTGAAGTTAGACATATGTGGGGGTGGTTTTCATTTCGCATGTACCTTTTTCATCCAAGACAGGTTTGGTCTCATTCCAGCCCTGCTCCCTATCTGGTTCAAGCCAACAACTTAAGTCTCCCTGGACATCCGTTTCCTTATTATTAAAATTAAGCATTTGGACTAAACTAGCTAGGAGAACTTTTCAAACTCAAATGTCCTCTGATTCTATTACTTTGTGTCCCCATTGTGAATTCTTTCTGTCTTATTTCCCTTGTCCACTTTCCCTCCCTCCCCCACTAGCAGATGGGTCCTCCTGCCTGTCTCACCACCGCATACAGAGATACACTGTGTTCTTCAGCACCTGGCTTTGACCTGGAGGTTTTCTTCAACCTGGAGGAAGTTGGGAAGCAATTTGCTATGTGCTCTTCCTTCAGGGGCACTCCCTTCCACCAGGGTTGGAGAGTCCCTTCCTTGTAGGGAGCGCATTCCTGAGTGCAGTTGCAAAAGGAGAGGGAGGTTGCAGAGGGAGCACAGAATGATTCTTGTATCAGAGTAAAGGTTTTTCTAAACTGCCACAGATTTGGGACTGTGATTTTGACCCCTGGAGGGTGTGGGGAGCAAGGGTATAATCTGTTCTAAACATTCGACAAATTAAGAGTCTAAGGTTTCAGAGTAAGGAAGGCACAGTCATAGTTCCCCGCAGCTTCCAGATCACTTGGTTACATTTTCTTTGGTTGAGAGTACAAGCTGTTAGGTTACTAAGTGTTCCCACATAATCTGTTGACAAAGCATTTCAAGCAAAATCATTGTATCATAAAGGTGTGCCAGTATTTTATGAGGTAAACTAAGTCGGTCATGATTTCATTTGCCTGCGTTTTCATTTTACCATTCGACACAAAAGGACAAATCAGCTTCAAGGAGTTCATCACCACCAGCCAGTATTACATGGAGTGCTAAAGGGTCTTCTTTAAAGGAAAAGAAGAAAAAAAAATATGAACAATAAAATGGCAATAAATACATATCTATCAACCATTGAATCTAAAAAACAAACTAAGCGAACAAGCAGAACAGAAACAGACTCAGATGCAAGGAACATGTGGAAGGTTGCCAGATGGGAGGTGGTTTGGGGGGGGCGATGGGTGAAAAAGGTGAAGGGCTTAGGGGTACAAATTGACTATTACAGAACAGTCATGGGGATGTAAAGTACAGCTTAGGCGGTGATGGTGAATCTTTTGAGCTCGGAGTGTCAGCATTTTGAAAAACCCTAACTTAACTCTGGTGCCATGTCACATATAGAAATTTTTTGATATTTGCAACCATAGTAAAACAAAGACTTATATTTTGATATTTATTTTATATATTTAAATGCCATTTAACAAAGAAAAATCAACCCAAAAAATGAGTTCGCGTGTCACCTCTGACACGCGTGTCATAGGTTCGCCATCACTGGCTTAGGGAATATAGTCAACACTATTTCAATAACTAGGTACAAGGTATATTTGATGAGATGTGCATGGAAAGTATTTCTAAAAACAGTTTTCCGGCAAGGTGGGAAGGCCGTTCTGGGCTGTTGGAAGTAGGAGAAAAACATTTAAAGAGCTGGGAAGGAGGGAGACAAAGGTGCCCGCGGAGGACCCAATGCAGCAGAGAAGCAGCAAGCTCTGGAGGCCAAAGGTGGCATGGCCGGGCAGGATGAAGGACACTAGGGGCTGCTGCGGGGCGCCCTGCTCTGGGTCTCCGCGGCGGCCGTCCCAGAAGACAGGAGGGAGGTCCTGTCTAGCGGAGCCTGCGGCAGGAGACGGGGTTGCTCCGCAGCTCGGGGGCGGTTCGGACAGGGTTAAGACCATCACCTGCAGTTGAAGTGCGGCTCGGATGGGAAGTAGGAAGTGCCGCGCCTGAGCTTCCTGTATAAATAAACGCCCGGCTCCTGGCGCTGCTGCTGCTGCTGCTGCTGTTGCTGGCGAGCTGCGCCCCACGCTCTGCAAGGCTCCGGGGAACCGCAGCAGCTCCCGAGGCAGGAGGCGCTTGGTGATAGGTCCTCCTCCGCCGGCCCCGCAGGTCCCGGAGCCCAGTGCTGTTACAGCCCTGCAGAGCGCAAAGCTGTCAGCTGCAGAGCCCGGAGGACGAGGGAGAGAACGAAACAGCTCCTCTTCCCGGGTGTGCGGGTGTGCGAGCTGGAGGCTGCCGAGAAGCCCGGCGGCGGAGGACCCGAGCTCTTCGGCCAGGTAGGTCTAGCTGGCTTTTCAAAAGCTGCAGGCATTCCAAGACCCGGGGGGTGTTGGACCAAGAAAAGGAAAAAGGGCAAGAAACTATGATACCATGGGTTTTAGCGTTATGTCCTGGGTCTCGTGCGTCAACCATACAGAATTGAATTCATTCTGAATGCCTTTAAACACCTGTTAACTTTTAAAAAATAGATGTCTTTGTAAAGGTAAAAAGAAGCTAGTTTAATTACTATTAAAACAGTCCACCGAATGCATTGGAAAATTCAAGGTTAGATCAAGCCTCCCCATGTCTTAAAGGGAGACCAAAAGTTGGCATAGCCTCAGCTGTTTACCTTCTGTTACTTGGAAATGCACAGCAATATGTTGACACACATAGATATTAACAAGCTGTTATATTATCTATGGGTTCTTGGCCATACATTATGCAGATTGTTTTGTCAGGTAGTTGCTGATAAAACAAAGCGAAACTCCGATCTTATACTGCTGTGCTCAAATTTAAGTTAAAATGAAACTGGCTCCTGCTGCTTCAGCAGAGAATAGGTATTTTAGCTTACCCTTTCCAGGGTACCTTTTGCTTTTGTTGTGCGTTTCAGTGATTCTGCTGTAAGTCTACTCCTGATGCCTGTACTTCTCACATTCAGATCTCTCAGAAATGAATTCTTTCGGGGAAAATGTTCTCTGTCTTCATGCATCCACTATAGTCACTCACTTTCTCCTTTCTGCCGCACATGGATCTTATCAAAACATTAGCTGGGGCTCCTAACAGGACTCTCTCCCGCTTCTTCTAACTTGGCACTTCTGGATGTGTATTTGAATCTAGCCAGGTATGAATTAAAGAAAAACGTATCTAACATGTCTGAAGCAGCAGATTGGGGGTGTCTAAGCAGAAGCGAAATAAATGAACTTTGAGATGACTCAGTTTTTAGGGTGTGGGTAAGAGGAAGAAGAAACCCAGCCAGTCTTCACTGAGTTGCTGGCTAATGAGAGTATCAGGCTGCTGCAGCTTTCACTGCGATGAGCCTCTTGATCTCCGGTGCTTTTCACCTCAGATTCCTCTGCTGGTTCCTCCTTCTCTTTACTCTGTCCTCCCTTCCCAATCCTATCTTCATGAGGAGAAGGGGGCGGGGAGGGAGGAAAAGAATGATAGCTATAGCAGAGCCACAAAGCCATTTGGAGAGAATTGTATTAGGAAATCCAAGGCCACATTTTCTCCCAACTCCTCCTTCCTCTTGCACACCTGTGACTGGTATTTTAGTCTTTGTAGTGGCATAAACTGTGAACAATAGGAAAGGAAAAAAAAAAGAAACCTGTTTTAAAAAGTAGCCTCTGACTAATGGAAACGGCAGACTTGTATAGAGAATGTAAAAAAGTATTGAGTTGCTGAATTGGGTTGCTTGGCTTTTTATTTAAAACAAACAAAAAACTCAACCAAAAAGTCCCCCAAACCAATCACCCTAGATAACTTGCTCCTACACTACTACTGTGCTGGAAGTGAGGCTTAAATGTGGTCAAACACTGTCTAAACTCAGAGTTTTACAAATATTTACAGTCATCTATGCCAAATATCTCTGTGCTGAGCCCCAAGAACATTCTCAGCATTCAAAAGCCTCATTCTCATGAATGGTTTCAGTTCATTGGCAATTTAAAAGCATTCAGGCTTCCAAACTAGGTCAGTTAAAGACATGTCTTAAAAAAAAAATTAGTTATTGGGTCTCCCAGGTTATGACCAAGTTTTCTCAGTCAAACTCTACAGCAGAGAGAGAAGTTATGCTCTATCTGGAAAGAAAAAAAAGCTTATTTTGTCTTTATAGGTCTACATTTAGCTTCCTGGAAGCTAGCTTTCTCTCTAATAATATGAATACATTTAATCTGAGAAAGCATATTTACATTTTTTCTTCCTGAAAAGTAGTTTCAGTATTTTAGATGTTTAGAAACATTTCGAAGGACACCAGAATCATTTCTATGTAGTGTTTCTACTAATTCTGGCTTGTGTGTTGCCCCTGGCCTTGCCTAATGACATTACTTTCTTGTTAAGTGAGGTGTGCAGTGTTTGAAATCTCCAGTTTGAAGTAGAGGTCAGGAATCATGCTGAACCCAGATGTTGATGGAGAGACAAAGTCCAAATGGTTTTGGGGCTAAACTTACTTTGTGCAATTGATTATTTTGGAGATGGGAAAGTGGCCAAGCTGCCCGGCAAGCCACGCATTCCACCTTGGGCTGTGCTGAGTAGGTGTCTGCAGTCACTGTTCCTGAGTGCTCAGACTTTCTTTCAGGGATGCCTGCCTTAATAGACAGAAGTTCCTTAGCTACAGTAAATTATCAATATTTTCAGTGTTTGAATTGCTGGGAGTGAACAGAGATGAGAACCAGGCCTTTAATATTTTCTTTCTCCCATGTACATTCAGAACACTTATCTGCTGTAGTACTGAGTGCCTACTGTTTGCCAGGTGTATGCTAGGTGCTGAGGATATAAAGATGTGTAAGATGGCCCCTGGCCTGAAGGAATTCACATAAGCTTGGAAGTGACTTTGAACTAGAGTGGTAGTTCTCAATTCATGTTGTTTTACCTGAGCATGAAAAATACTTTGATGTTTGTCATCTCAACCATGGTTTCTCTGATATCACCTGAGCATTCAGTCATTTGAAGAGTCATAACAACATCTATTTAATTATTTTTATTTTCATTTGTTTTTTTCACTTTTAGGTATATGTGGGGGAGTCTTGTACTAACTTTTACTTTATTTTTTAAAAAAAATATATTTTTATTGATTTCAGAGAGGAAAGGAGAGTGAGAGAGAGATAGAAACATCAATGATGAGAGAATCATTGCTTGGCTGCCTCTTGCACACCCCCCCACTGGGGACTGAGCCTGCAACCCAGGCATGTGCCCTTGACCGGAATCGAATTCAGGACCCTTTGGTCCACAGGCCAATGCTCTATCCACTGAGCCAAACCGGCCAGGGCCTAACTTTTATTTTTATTGACTTTGGCATTTGCTATTTACTTGGTCAGTTATTACTTCTAAAGCCAATGAGTCATACTGTAGTAGTTATTTAAAAATGGAAAACAATACATTAAAGAGAGTAAAAGTAGCCGATGCTTTTGCAACACGGAATGAGAAACTTCTCATGTACGATCAGATCCCTTCCTTGAATTGAAAGCACAACCACCTAAGTGAGATGCACTTCTCTTATTCATGGCTAGAACTACCTGATCACATGACTTGTAGTGTCTATTAAAGAACATACTTGTAAAGCCAGGTCTCATTGGTTTCTAATTCCTCTGTAATCATGAGTTTGAGTCCCAGACCTTTAGTCAACTGCATTTTTGTCTTTTTTGGAAAGATAGAACAAGACATCTCATTTCTCTCTCTGCTGGACTTGTGGCTGAAGCACTAAACCCACAAATTGTCCTCTGTTTGATTACATAAAACTAACTGTTGACAACCTCCTCAACTAGCTTACTCTTTATAAGTGGGGAGTGGGGTTAATTACCTCTATGTCCCCAGCACCTATCATCTATGGAATTCAGTTCTTTGTGGGTTGACTTTATTTCCTGTATTATTGATTCCTTAAGAAACCTATTTGGCAAAGACATAAAAAAATACATACCCTGCACTTTACTTAGTGTGGGATGGAGGAGATTCCTTTTTCAAACTTGTTTAAAATTTCTTTCTAATTAAAATTTCTATATGCAACTTTCATAGGAGAGGTTAATATTTACATATGCTTTTATTCGCTTGGAGAAAAAAAATTGATTTAGAGATTTGTGCTGTGGTGACTGTAATTTGCTGGTAATGTCATGACCCAAGACGTCAACCCTTCTCTTGCTATATGGGCCCGCCTGAAATAACACTTCTCCTTGATCTGTTAATTACATCACTGTCTGACCTGCCTTGAAGCGGCATTCCTTCCTGCTCCTGAGCTTTGTTGTTATGCCAGGCAGGGGGAAGAAAATCATTTAGCAGGGCTGTATGAATAATTGTGGGCGGCCAGGGAGCCATGGACTGAAAAGGGGTGGGCAGGGCACATGGTGTTGGGGAGGGAGCTCCCACGATGAATATAAAGTTGCAATGCCAAAAATATCATTGACCTGTGATTCTCAAATTCATTCCCACCTTCTCTGATATGTTTTTATTGTTAGGAAAGGTCAGAACAGATTTCCTCCTCTTGGGCCTTACCCTGTAGTGATAATAAGAACATGAAAAGAAGGCAAGAAAAAAGAAATGTGCTTTTCAGAAAAAGGATCAGCATTTTTGTCGTTGTTAAAACTTGACATCTCAGATGCTCTGTACTTTACAGGGTTTAGAGTTAGTTTATCACAATGTCATGCTCTTTGTTGCCCATGATCTCATCTCTCTTTCCACATATTTCACCTGTATATTTTGTAGGGGAAAAATTGGATCTTATTATTCTCACCATTAAAAAATTGTAATGGTATGTGATGACAGATGTGTTAACTAATGTTATTATGGTAGTCATTTCACAAAATATACATATTAAATCATTACATTGCACATCTTCAAATTATACAATGTTATGTATCAACTAGAGGCCTGGTGCACGAAATTCTTGCATGGGTAGGGTCCCCAGGCCTGGCCAGCGATCAGGGCCTATTGGGGCCTTCCAGTTGCTGGCTGGGGTCTTCCTTCCCTGGCTGCTGGCTGCTGGCTAGGGCCAGGGTCTCCTTCATTCTGCGCTGCCCTCTGGTGGTCAGCGCACGTCATAGCAAGCGATCAAACTCCCGGTCTCCTGGTCGAACTCCCCTTTGCGCGCGCACACACACACACACACACACACACACACACATATAGATTATATCTCAATAAAGCTGGAAAAATTAAATCTTATTAAAATGGTTGTAACAGACTTTATTCATACCCTGATTTGAAATAGCAAAGTGACTGTCTAAAACAGTGGTCGCCAACCTTTTTGACCTCATGGACCACCAGTGGTCTACGGACCACCCATTGGCAACTGCTGGTCTAGAAAACAGGTTTT